TCAACGTCTCAAAAAAAGTGTATTTACTAAATCTTTTAGGTCATTATTAAAATATTTTTTTATGTAGAATAGTACAATGGACGCAACAAACAAAAAAATTTGGGAAACAAGGGATCAAATCACATCATTAAAGATGGAGTCCGAACTGATTGAGCTGGAGTCAGAACTTGACAAGGCAAATGAATTAATATACTTTTTGACCTATTTTAATGACTTTTTCCTTTGGACCTTATATTGAACTTACTATTTGCAGAAGAAGGGAAGACAATCTGGTCTCCGGATAGCGAGGCGAGGATTTCAAGTATACGCTGACACGGAGTTTGATTCTGTGGAACAGGAACGAAAGAGAATAAGAGCAAATGAAAATTACGAAGTAGCAGTCAAAAAAGCCTTTCCCATCATCACTTCTCTTTCTAATACTCGAGATCACACCCAAAATGAACAGAGCAGGCAACAAACATTGGGAAATCAAGGAGAACCTTCAAGCGGAATGGTACTCAGAAAAAAAGAGAAGGTTAAATATGCTGAATCCTCAAACTCATCAGATTCTGATGGCTATGTAGAAGTAAGTCATTGGATTTATTTTTTACTTTTTATATGCTTTAATTATAATAATATTTTTTGAATATATCAAGTATAAAAATGCAAGATCAAAACGATATGCCCGTGTTAAATCTGTTTCTCGCGAAATCACGCCGGTCCCAACAACTTATTCAATCAAACACACTTTATTAGCGACACCTAATAAACCCATAATTACGAAATCAACGTATCATCAATATTCTGCACATATAATTTGTGCTTTTAATACAACAATTCACCTTGTCAAGGAAACTCTTGAAGAACAAGCCTACGAAAAAGTTAAAAATATGCTCCAAATGGGTAACAAATTGGTTATAAAGGATTCGATAGTCGAAAATCTTGAAAAAATATTTCAAACAGAATATTCTGAAATTGAATCTAAAATAATTTCAGAGACAAAGATTGGGGATAACCAAGCAACGGAAGAGGATCGGTTCATATTCTTTATAAGATATGCATTACTGGACTTTGTCTCAATGTTTAAATATTTAACGCCAAAAGTTTTGGATCGTAATATGCTTGAACGATCTTATATCGTTGAATGTTTGTCACCGATTCTCCGCGCGTTTCGCAATGCATTTCCTGACATAAAATACATGTGGATAGAAAAGGAT